ATCTTACTTCCAGCTCAGCAAGTTCAATTAGAAACATTGTATCCCCGGAGTTAAGTATTATACTTGCAAAAAGCTTGTCCTCCTGCTTCTGTTCCGCCTGCTTTTTTGAAATCATTTAATCTTCTGTTTGACAGCAGAAATTGGACGCAGCACCTAGCTCTGTAAAAAAAAACAGAGTCCCCCCGGATCCGGAGCTTCAGTGGGCTGAACGGGGAGCTCTCACCCTCCTAACCCCTGGAGTTAATCCAGGGGTTTCCGGGGAGCTCTACCCTCACCCACCTGCTCTCCTCCCCTTCTTTTCCCGAAGGGGAGATTTTCAAGCCGTTTGACAGCTGATTAACGCTGTCAGAACGGCTCAACGGGATCGCGGGGGCGGCGGTCTAAAAAGACCGTCAATGGTGCTGCGGAGCCAACCCGGAAGTCACTCGATTCTGCTGTTATTTAATGACATGAGAAATTAAAATGTAGCCAATTCAGTAATTAATTCAGTGAAGGCTAAACACTTTGATTAATTGTTTTCTTACTTATTTTACTCTGAATTCCAAAGTCTCTTGAGGCAGAACTAGTATACCTTTGACTGTAGCACTGGGAATATGCTGAAACAGTATTATTAGTGGTTTATTCCCAGAGGTATTTCAAACATTTTCATTCTTCGACAGCTGCTGAAGCTCCATCATCTTTATGGAATTGTTGTTGATATGCAGTAGCTCTTGAAAAGTGTGAGTTCCCACATGACCCAACCCCACAGGACACACAGCATAGGAGAGTGATGCCTTTTACTCAGCTAAAAAGCAAGTTGTGATTGTCAGAAACAGCCAATGCTTCCAATTGCTTCCACCTGCTTATCTCCTCTGCCCCTTGTACCATACAATAATAAGGAACAGGTCCCTCTATCTAGAAGATAACAGGTGAGTGAATAAATGCTACCACCTCACTTTTGTTCTGTTGATAACAGATAATTGTTGCCATGTAAAAGCTGCATTCTGGGTAGCATAGTGATCCAAACTTCTAGAAATAATACAATGGAAGAGAGAGGAAATAGAAGAACTGGCATTAGCAAGACAGTAGTCCATTACACAGGAAAGTTAAGAGCTATTTCTTCCTCCAGAACATGTCACATTTTGGGGAACAGCTCTAGCTCCCCCCCTCAAAACCTGGTCTTACTTACAATTTCTTTATTAAGTGGATTGCAATTTACAATTAGAAAACCTAAGAAGGATGGCTAATACTTGGGAAAGGGGGAAAAATTACTTAGGCCACAATAGACAAAACCTCACAGAATGAAATTTAACAGGAAGAAACATAAAGTCACACATCTAGGTAAGACAAATGGGAAAAAATGTGTACATAATGAAGAAAGTCTGCCTCAAAAGCAGCATGTGTGAGAAGGATTTCAATGTACTACCTGTATGTTACAAGCTCAACATGTCCCAACTGAGACATGCAGAGAAGGCCAATGACATCTTGACGGGAATCAAGAGGAACATGGTGTCCAGATCACAGGACACCATGCTTCTCTTGATTTCCTTCACCCTACTCTGCCCTGGTAAGGCTTGGAGTACTACATTCAGTTCTGTACACCCCAGTTAAAAAAAATACACTCATAAGTTCAGAGAAGGCCTACCAAGACATTGAAAAGACTGGTAACCAAGTCCTACAAGCAGAGGTGGGCGTCACATACTGTAACAACCAGTTCGCCCAGAACTGAAAATGTGAGTGTGCGCGGCATCAAAAAACCAGCAATTATATAGGACTGGATAGCATCAGGTTGGGTGGGTGGGCCCACCTGTTGGTTGGAATTACCGGTTTGCCCAAACCAGTCTGAACCGGCAGCAGCCAACCTCTGCCTCCAAGGAACAGTTACAGTAAATGAAATATATTTAGCTTGAAGATTCAGAGAGAACATGATAGCTGTCTTTAAATCTGAACAGAAATCACAATGTAGAGATTCAGATGTATTACCACTTGCTGCAGTGGGTAAGTCTAGAATTTAAGAAATGAAACTTCAAGAATGTAGGTACAGATTACACATTAGAAGATATTTTTATAAGAGCTGTCAATCAGTGAAATGGGTTAGTGCAGAGCTGTTTCTGCCCCTTCACTGGATAGACTGGATAGGTTTCTACCAGGGATAGTGTAGTGAACTTTGCAATATATAGAGTTGGACTTGATGACTTCATAGGATCCTTCCAACTCTGTAATTCTATTATATCCCACCAACATGAAAAGTTATTTTTTAAAAAAATCAATTTATTTCAGGACCAATTGGTTTATAATTTGACACTTATTATCCATTTTCTGAATTGTTTTAAGACTTCATTCTTGAACCATTAGCAATTCTTGTTGGGAAATATTGAGATATCAATTTTGTATTGGTTAATTCTGAGTATCACTTATTTTTATCTGCTGATATTTTGACATTAGAACATTGATTCAAGACATCTAGTGTCTTTCAGTGACTGAAGGTGGATTAGAACCGGAATATCCCTATTCCTAATCCAACAATTTTACCACTACACCACATTTTTTCATTCTTAAACTTTTCTTTAAAAGATTTCATTTCAAAAGCAAATATACAGCAATTGAACATAATGATATATATAACAATATGCCACTTGGTAATATAGGAGTGAGCAATGAATTAACAGACCCAGCAACCAATTTTTCCCCTAAAGTATAAAGATAAAAAATGAATCAATGAATAAAGAAATTGAGGTGATCCAGTATAATTTAAAAAGTGGTATGGTTGTTTTCCTTGCATATCATGACAAAATATTTCAAAAAATTAATTCCTACTGAATTCTTAATAATTTCCCAATAGGTATCTGTTTGGTCATTCCTTTTCCATGAAAATTAATCTGAATTAAAATTGATAAATTGCTTTGTATGATATAGGTGTGTGTGTGTGTGTGTGTTTAACATTTAAGTGTACCTGGATGCTGCTGTTATATTTTTTGCTTTGTAAATCACTTAAGATTGAACTGATTAGTGTTGTATAAAAGCATTTTCAATAAATACGCTTCCAAAACAAAGTCTTAGTACAGGTATTGAAGAGCATATATTCAGCCTATTTCAAACAAGACTGCGCTTTTATTAGAAATGATTGTTATAGAAACTTCCAGGCTAGTGAATAAATTATAATCAAAATCTTTAAATTAAGCTTTTCTGACTAGAGACTTAAATTAAATACATCCTGCAGCAGATAGCACTGACTAGTTTTAGCATGGCTTCTGAGAGGCCTACATGGCTGCAACCGCATTCACCAGCCTAATAGACAACTTTTGCTCAAAATCAAAAGAGAAAGTTTGAATTAGCTATACTTTATCTCTTTGCAGATTGTTTTTCAATAACTATATAGTCCTCGATTTACAACAGTTCATTTAGTGACCATTCAAAGTTACTACACTGACAAAGGTGACTTATGACCATTTTTTACACTTATGACCTTTGCAGCATCCCCATGGTCAGATGATCAAAATTCAGATGTTTGGCAACTGACTCAAGTTTATGACTGCTGCAGTGTCCCAGGGTCATGTGATCACTTTTTGCGACAAGCAAAGTCAATGGGGAAGCCAGATTCACTTAACAACCATGCTACTAATTTAACAACTGCAGTGATCCACTTAACTGCGGCAAGAAAGGTCTTAAAATGAGACTAACTATACATTTCCAGAGCAATAATAGATCTCATTTTAAACTAGATCATACTTTCTCAAAAAGACAAAGTATGTAGTTCAAGGTGACCAGAAACTACCCCTGGACCAAATTCTTCAGATCCCCATACAGATGAAATGGCCTTCAGCCCTGTTCATCATCACTTTGGAGAGATAGACAATTTTTCTTTTTCCCAAGGAAAGTAACCATATATAGCAATAATATTGACATTTGAGTACTCTATTGTAATATGTTCCACAAAATTTATTTTGGAATCTAGATCAGAAGTTTCCATTGGTACAGAACTCAACAGTTCAGCTAATCTTAGAATTCAAAGAGAGCACATCATACAAATATAAAAAACATCATTTTGACTGCTGGATAGTTTCTAACTGAAATCAAAATGCTAGTTATTAATATTCAAGGCCTCTATGGATTTTGTTCAGGTGGACTTGCAAGAACCTCCGTGAGGTTCATTTACATTTGTTACAGGCTCATCGTGTGGTGATCCAGGTTCAAGCCATTGGGTTGAGGAGTACACCAACCATTTTAAAATAGCCCTTCTAACGCAAAACTTTCAAGCAAAACTTTCATTGTTGATTTTTAGCATCACAGGCTTTCATTTCCATTTTAGTATTTTTACTTTAAAATATGGCACAATCTGGATAGTTGGCAGGACAGTAAGCTAACCAAATAGGCTGCTGCTCCCTTACCTCTACTCTCTCCCTAGCCTGAAAAACTTTTGGGGTTATTCACTGGCATGGCACTTAACATTATTCACTGGCATGGCACATAACTCACTTTCAATTTTGGATTATAAAGCCTACTGTTTCTTCCTCCTCATTTTGTTACCCATCTCGTTGCCCAAGAAAAGAAGGAAGACATTCTTGCCAGAGAAAAGAGCAAACAAACCACCCAACTTTTTGTTCTGGCAAAAGCCACCCTTTGTCCAACTGTTCATTTCACCTGCTGGGCAGGCAGTTTTTCTGATGCCTTTTCCTCTCTGAACAGCATAGCAACCAAGACTGGGTTGCTCGTAGCCCAACCTGCAAAAGGAGTCGGAGAGGAGGCAGAGATTGCTCCCTGCAAGTGCAAATGTCTCAAAACCCCTTGCAAAAAAGCTGGGCGCTTCCTTTCTGAATTGCTAAACACCCACAAATAAAAGTTCCAAGTTTGTTAAAGCATCTCACTCGCCCCGCTCTGCCTTGCTTGGCAGGCTGGAGGGGCGATATGCCATGGAGACCACCCCACACTTTGAAAGGCTCTCCCTCTGGGCGATCCGGCACACCTCGCCTTTTCAGGCGAGATCCCAGGAAAACACGAGCGAGGGAGAGACGCTGCTGTACCTGTCCGAGGAGGCTCTGCAGGCACCTGGCCGAAGGTCCCGCTGGGAAGCAGCGATCTGACCGGCACGGGGAAGAAGCCCCTAATGAAAAGCCCCACGCCCAAGGCCTGCACCAACAGGCAGAAAGACGCAAAGACCCCGGAGCGCAGCCGCATCCTTTAACTCCAGCGCGGGCAGGCAGGTGAATCCGGAAAGAAGGTAAGCAGGAGAAGGACACACCTGCGCAGCGGCGGCGGCGGCGGCCGCAGCACCTCCCTCCGGCGGGCCAAGCAGGCGGCACATAAGGATAGAATTGAAAAGCCAAGCAATCATAATAGGCCCAAACCGGTTTGCTTGCACACTGATTGGTCAGCGGTTGACCAATCCGCGGGAAGTAGCCGCTCGAGAACCGCGCCGAGGGAAGAACGCCTTGAAAAGAGGGAAGTATGAGCGGACTACATCTCCCAGAAAGCCTTTGCGGCATCGCCTTGGCGATCGATGGAAGCCAGTCGGTCGGTGGACTGTAAAGCCGTCAATTTCCAGTTGGATATTTATAGGTAGACTTACAATTGCTTGGCTTTTTGTCATGCATGCTGGTCTTTAGAAGTCAGGTATTCCACTTAGACTTAGAATAACTTTATTGTGATTTTGAATGTACACTAATCGGCATACATTAAAATGAAATTTCGTTGCATGCAGTTCTCAAAGGGTCTCCACCTCTAAAATACACAACATATACAAACAGAGGGACGCGGTGGCTTAGTGGCTAAGATGCTGAGCTTGTCGATGGAAAGGTCGGTAGTTCAGTGGTTCGAATCCCTAGTGCTGCATAAAGGGGTGAGCTCCCATTACTTGTCCCAGCTTCTGCCAACCTAGCAGTTCGAAAGCACGTAAAAAATGCAGGTAGAAAAATAGGGACCACCTTTGGTGGGAAGGTAACAGCGTTCCGTGCGCCTTTGGCATTTAGTCATATGACCACGGAGACGTCTTCGGACAGCGCTGGCTTCTTTGAAACGGAGATGAGCACCGCCCCCTAGAATCGGGAATGACTAGCACATATATGCAAGGGGAACCTTTATCATATACCCACCTATATTATATGACACAGAGAAACAACATAGTTTAGTTTGGATGTATACACACTCTTCCTTTGGGATTCATTTCCAGCGGAAAATAGGTAGCTCATGGGGAGAGATAATTATTGAAATGGAATGAGTTATTGAAACGGATTAAGACAAGGTTCAGAGTTTAGCATAAAGACGTTTATAGAGTCGGAAAAATAAAAAATAATTCTGTATGTACTTGCAGCTGCTGATCAAAGTCAAGGTTCTGTCATTAAAATTTTTGTGTAAATATTTGGATTGTGTTTGTAATTATTGTTAGTGTCTAAAGCAGTGTTTCTCAACCTTGGCAACTTTAAGACGCATGGGCTTCAACTCCCAGAATTCTCCAGCCAACATGGCTGGCTGGGGAGTTCTAGGAGTTGAAATCCACATGTTTGCCAAGGTTGAGAAACATTGCTCTAATGATATTCTTTTTGTTCCAATATTTGTAGTGAAATAGTTTTACAGGTAGTCTTCAGCTTATGACCGCAATTGAGCTCAAAATTTCTGTTGTTAAGTGAGACATTTGTTAAGTCAATTTTGCCCCATTTTACGATCCTTCTTGCCAAAGTTTTTTAAGTGAAACATTGCCGTTGATAAGTTAGTAACCCAATTGTTAAGTGAATCTTACTTCCCCATTGACTTTGCTTGTCAGAAGATCGCAAAAGGGGATCACATGATCTTGGGACACAGTGACAGTCATAAACATGAACCAATTGCCAAGCATCTGAATTTTGATCACATGGTCATGGGGATGCTGCAAAAGTCGTAACTTTGAAAGGTGATGTCACATTTTTTAGTGCTCTTGTAACTTTGGTCACTAAATGAACTGTTGAGGACTACCAGTATTTTTACCAGTAAGTTGAGGACTACCAGTATTTTTTTTTCTTTATTTTGGGGGCAAAATAATATGGCATGTTTATATGTGGGCAGAGGTCAGAAGTTTATGGCTATTTTTGGTATTGGTATTTTAACAATTTTAACCATTTTTAACAATTTTTGCTACTGCTAAAGTATACTATTTTTACTTTTGAGCCTGTAGCTCTACACTATTTTTGGTAGTGTAAACTGAACAGAATTACTGTACTTTTCAGAGTATAAGACACACTTTTCCCCCTATAAAAGAGGGTGGAAATGTTGGTGCGTCTTATACACCGAATACAACCATTTTTCGCCTCCCGAAACCTCGCCCCGTGCAACCCGTTTTCGCCAAAAACAGGTCAGTTTTTTGCAAAAACAGAGTGCACAGAGGGTTTGGGAGGTCTGTAGAGTGCTCCTGGGGGCGGGGGGGGGGGGGCAAAAACACGACGCATGGGGGGTTTGGCAGGCCAAAAATAGGCCTGTTTTTTGCCAAAACGCGGCATGCAGAGGGTTTGGGAGGCCTGCAGAGTGTTCCTGGGGACTGGGGAGGGCAAAAACGCAATGTGTGTGTGTGGGGGGGGGATTTGGGAAAGATTGTCAGGAACAGCTATCGACTTGTGAATATCAAATGGCATCACAGCCCACTGCCCTAGCTTTACAAAGAGAGAAAGTGATTTCTGTAGAATTTGGACCAAGAAGAATAGAAAAGTTACTTTTTAGGATGCGAAATAATATTTGGAGGGGTTTTCAATTAATCAATCAGAATATAGCTGGACAGGAGCTTGGAGATTTTCATAGTCCAATCCCCTCCTCAAGCAGGAGACCCTATCTTTTCTTAAAAACCTCCAGTGATAAAGGCACAACAACCCACAACTTCTGAAGGCAAGCTGTTCCACTGGTTAATTTTCTTACTATTAGGAAGTTTCTCCTTAATTCCAGGTTGCTTCTCTGCTTGATCAATTTCCATCCATTATTTCTTATCTTGCCTTCTGGTGCTTTGAAAAATAAGTTGTGGCAGCCCCTCAAATACTGGAATACTTTTCTTTTCTTTTCTTTCTTGCTCTTATATTTCGCTTACTTGGTGACAAAGTGTGGAAAGGCAATTCATAAGGGAATAACTATAAAGTTACCTGCTGAATTTTTGCAAATAGATATAGTATGATACAAAACCAGACATTTTCTGGGTGGCTCTTGATGAAAACACTCTGCTATTTGACGCTTTATAAGAGGTTTTAAGGTGTAGGCTAAAGATAGATTATTGACTACAACGAAAGGGGTTGATCACTGAGATACAAAAAGAAAATGATCTAATCTGATGTATGTTCTCAGAACTGGCTGAAGATGCCAAATAGTTTCTTGCACATACATTATGAAGTTTCACTTCTGTTGTAGCATCTATTCTTGCCTTTGTTTCCCTAATTTTTTTCATCTCTTCAGCTTGCTTAGATCTAATATATCTGGGTTGCATCCATGTTTAAAACCACTAGAAGGCACCAAAGAGTTAAACATTTTTCTTATTACCATTTAATTGGCCTTCAGTTATGATGTGATATGATGATACACCAAATTCCTATATGGTAGGGCTAGCAAGTAAGCTGAATTATGCCTAACTATGGTTGAATAACATAAATCGATTGGGTGAACGGCCAAACAATATGGAAATCTATCAGCTTCTCTAAAAGCAGCACTTAATACATTTTGTAATTGCTGTCATTTAACGCCAACGAAAATAGTGCAAATATATCAATAACTATGTGTTATCACATATTGTAGAGCTCTGTAATCTCTTTTAGCATCCTGGAGTTCCGCAGGCTACAGGGATGTGCCAAATTGCCATGACCATTGAGAAGGCGTCCAGGAAAGATCCTTAGAGAACACACAGTCACTGCCAACATTTGAGTAAAGATGGAGACAAAAAGAAAAACATCAGACAACGAAGATTTAAAAAATGAGGGTGGGGTGAAATCACACACATATACCTATTGGCAAAATCTCAGTCCTGATGCATTCTGCTTCAGGGGACTGTGTTTAAGAAAAACAATGTATTAATGAACAATGAAATAATTGCAAACATCACAACTTATGAACCCCGCATTAACCTTTGTTAACCAGCGCAATTATAAATAAATGGAAAACATTTCACATATAACAAGAATTTGAGTGAAAAGAATCTCAAAAAATGAAAGCCCGATACCAAGTTAATTGAAACATCTATAAATAGAGCCCATTGACAATAAATGCAATTAAACACAGTTTGTATAATTAACCAAAAATGAAAAAGTTGCATCCTGCATTCAACCTCCTATCGCTTCTGATTACACGTGGTACACAAGGACATAATTATGTGCCAATGATGAAAAGCATAACATTACCAAGATAAACCACTAATATATATATTTTTTAAAATCTTCATACCGTTACTGCACAAAAAACATGTGGAGCATATGGTTACATTCAAATAGTTAGTAATAGTTAAAAAAAGAAAACTCCATAAACAAACAAACTCCCTCCCCCCCAAATCAATTACATATGGAGGAGGAAAACTGCAGGTGCAGAATGCTTAAAACTCAACAACTGTGTGAGTGAAAAGGCATTTAAAGCTTAAGTGCTGCACTTAATGGTACATGTACTTGAAAATCCAACCACCAGATTCTAAATACCAAATATAAACATTGTGTCTAAAACTCAAACATATCCTAATCACAAAAACATGGAATAACAAAGTAATTGGAGTGATGCACTAAAGTGAAGAACTTCACTAAGATCTTTACAGGCCATTTATTTTAATCTTATTATCCCATCTAGCCTCTATTTAAAGAAGAATCTTATCTTTATAAGCTGGGATGTATTTTAAATCTGCCAAGGAAGGTTCTAAAATAGTCAGCTATAACCACTTAGGAAGCTTCTACATTCACAAGCACCCATTCCTAACCATCAATGGGACAAAGTTGTGAAATGTATGGCATGGCATTGCAATGCAAATTCTATCTTTTCTAGTTGCATGTCATCACTTGCTCCCTCCTCCAGAAGAAGGACTGAGGGTGACAGGATAGCAGTCTTCCAATATTTGAGGGGCTGCCACAAAGAAGAAAGGGTCAATCTATTTTCCAAAGCACCCAAAGGCAAGACGAGACAGAATGGATTAGAAACTAATATAGGAGAGAAGCAACCTACAACTAAGGAGAAATTTTCCTGTCAGTGAAAACAATAAACCAGTGGAATGGCTTGCTTTCAGAAGTTGTGGGTGCTTCATCACTGGAGACTTTTAAGAAAAGACTGGACAACCATTTATCTGAAATGTTATAGAGTTGTGATGG